CTCTGAATTCGCTGGAGAAGTGATTCAAGCAGTGTATATGTCAGTGTTTCCTCTCTCCAGAGATAAAATGTTTCCATATTCCATATTGACCACTCTGGTCAGAAAGAAACTCATCCAACCAGGAAAGCACATTGATGTGTCAGACATCCCTGAAATGTCAATCGCGGGTGGGGGCTGGGGGGTGGGGACTTGGGAAACATTGTGTTTTCTTGTAAAGCCAGTGTAGATGCCACCAAAGGACATGAAATGAAGATCAGTAGGTTTCACCCATAAAATACAGTCTCACCACTTTACAATATATCCTGTGAAGTGCTTTGAGATGTCTTGATGAAGTAATAAGGCACTATATTAAATGCAAGGATTCTTATTATTATTTGTAGTAGTAATAGTATTAAGTAATGGTTATTAAAAAAAACTTCAAATGTTATTTTCTGTTTATGCATTGATTCAAGTTCAGCAAGGATTCAAAAATGTTTTTCAGCGTGCATCCCAGACAAGGATTTAATCATCTTAATAAAGTTCTGCTCATTTCAACAGAAATTTTAACACAAGAATAGGTTTACTTAAAGATGAATAAACTGGCAAAATGCCAGGTTCAGTTCATGCTAAACCAGCTGGGGTTCATTAAGCCGCAGATCAACTCTCTCCTCTCCCGCCAACTCCATCCCTCTTTACGCAAATTCCAATTCCCCCAAATTGGAAGAAAACATATACATTTAAGATTGACACTGAATCCTGTAATATCTATTCTGTTGCATCTTTATTCCTCTCTATCTTTCTCACTTAAATACTTTATTTACTGCTTTACTGTCTCTCGCCCATGTACCCAGTGCAACCAAGAAGCCAGGTGAGTGTGCCGTTACCTCGAGGAATACACCGATGATGCTTTAGATTTAGTTGCTAGCAGAGAGATGTGCAAGAGGACACAAGCGATCACAGTCTCTAGCCTTTCCACCATGATCTGGCGAAAAACAGCAACTCAATAATGCAGCAGATCCCAGGTTTTGAGCTCAGTTCCAATACCCTAGTCTATCTGAGTTCCGATGAATTGGCCAACTGCCTTTCCGAATATCTTTTTAAATTCATTAATTTCTACTCTGTTAGTTTTTTTTAAAAAAAACATTATTGGGTTAACATTTCTTGGTTCCCTGAGTGTTAATATTTTTTTAAATTCACTTCACGTTCAGAATTGTAATTGATCAAATTAATTATAAGTTCTATGTGGCTTGCTCGTAACAGCAGCTGTGTCCCATTTGCATTCATTACCACGATATGAAATGGCAGCTTTAATGATATTCATAAATATTATATAATCAGGTTCACTTCCAATTCTGGCAAGCATTTATTTACCAGATATTTAATGATGATGACATTACCCAGCTGGCAACAAAGCAACTTTTTATTGCAGTGTCAGCTTCTTCTAAGTCGCTAATGATCAATATCATGCTTGTAAGCATGTTAACATTTCACAACATTTTGTACGCTGGCAAAGCACCCAAACGTTGAATATAACGATGAAACGGACAACAAGTAACAAGAAGTTGAGCATTAAATGCTTTTAGGAGAATGTGAAATGGTAGAATGGATAATTTGCTAAAATGTAATGCAGTTGCCTTGTCCTTCTTTGTAAAGTGCTCTGAGATCCTATGTAAATGGCCATTGCTCATTGTTACATCTATTTCCTGCTTTGCCGCACCGACCAGGAAACTATCCAAGTCATGCATCATGTTCATAAAGAGTGAAATGAATGCCACACCTACATGGTCCTAATAATATCAAAGGTTGCAGCTCAATTACATTATTGCAGAAATTGACTCCTATTTAAAAGTTACCGGGCACTTGTTTACAGTTGTGAAAAGCAAATGGAATGGTGTTCACTCACTTATACCAAATCTACATGGACTTAGGCTACACACTTTTCAAAGACTAGCGTATTTGATCCAGATACTATCTGGAAATCAATTTAACAAATATGTACTTGCAGATCTTGGTTTTGCAAAGATAGTTTTAAAACATTAATTTGTTCACACCCTGGTTAAACTGTATTATAAGTTTCTGCTGACAAGGCATTATATTGAACACCAAATTTGTTCCAGACAGCAATGGTGCTGCATAACGTATGCATTAAAGTCACAAGCTTGCTAAACAGAAAGGAAACATTCAAGAAAGACTCAAGTCTTCAAAGGGAAGTACAGCAGTAAGAAATGGTCAGAATCCTACAACAGAACCAGTGTAAAATCAGCGATGCAACCGAAAGTATAGTTTACCCAGTGGAGCCAAATGGAAACAAACTGTGAAAGGAAAGATGTACAGAAGCAGAAGCTAGAACTTCAATTAGGTCTTTGTTTCCACAGAGCTAGTAACAAATTAATCTCAATGCTGAAAAGCTTTAGAAAGGGATCTATCTGCACTCCCCCAGCTCAAAACAGTATGAAGGTTTGCTGATGAAAAGAATAATAATGTTTGCAACAATATTTCAGGTTAAGTACAATCCAGGATCTTTTGCCTTGTCCTACCCAACTTCATAACTGTGAACATCTCTGGGAAGCAGATCAATGGTTCTATTCCTCTTCTGAAAATAGCCCCTGTCCTTATGCCAAGAGCAACTGAGCGACCTATTCCACAGCCTCGCAGCCTAACTGAAGTGCCCAAGATGGAGATATTGAAAAAATTAAATAATTTTATGCAAGCATCACTGACAACTGGATATATTTGTCAATAGTATATTTTTGCAATGTGGAAATTCTGATGTAATTCTCAGACGATTATTTAATCCCTTCCATCCTGACACAGGGGAAACCTGAGCGGAATCCATACTTTCAATTGCACGCTTGAAATTCAGTTATTATTTAACACATCAAGTACAAAATAACCTTTGCAACTATCAAAGTACTGTATGTGTCGGATTTCATGGTGAATGAGGTCCAAGCAAATGTGTGTTGCAGACATGACCATTCTTATGTTAATCCGAAGCTTAATAATGTTCCTTGCGATTGATATAATTCCTTCTGCTGCCAAGATGGCTCAAAAACTTTATAGAGATTTCTACACTGCAATAATAGTGTGACCTTTAAGTATCTGTTGGTGAAGAAGCAGCCAATATGCCCACAGCACTGTCCCACAAGCAGCCATGAAGTGAACGGCCTAACATTTTCTGGGGGATTGTTGGCTAGGATAACGGGGAGAAACTGCCTTCACATTTTGCATAGTTCCATGGCATCTTCAACATTTACCCAACCAGGAGGGCAGGTAGGACCTCGGATTAATATCTCATTCGAAGAATGGCTCCTCTGATAAGGCAGCTCCCCCCAGCAACCCAATGGAATGTCAGTCTAGATTATGAGCTTAAAGTTCTTGACATGGGGCTTGACACCACAACCTTCTGGTTCAGAGGAGAGTGTGCTACCAACAGAATCAGGCTGACAAATTTGTAGAAGATCCTCCCTTGTGAAGGATGGGGGATGGGTGGGGTGGGGGGGGGGGAAGGAGAAATCATGTGGAAACTTCTCATTACTCATTTTGTTTCACCCACAAAATACAGTCAATTCACTTAACAGTATATTTTATGAAGCGCTTTAAGTTGTCACAAAAACACGATAAGGCACTACTTCAAATGAAAGGATTACTATTATTGGGACTAACAGACCATCAGAGCATCTCTCACCACACTCCAATTGAATAGTTTGAAAGTGGGGTTATTCTTTTGACAGAGCAACAGTTCACTGCGCAAATAGATTTATAGGAGGGGCAAAAATAAAATACAAAGACAAAAACAACTTTTGGCAGAAAAATTGTTTTTAAAAATTACCCTCAGGAAGGATGAGGACACGGTTAAATTACAGTTTGAATAATTGAGAAAAAGAAGGCTCTTCTCTTTTAAATGGTAGGGAATGTACTATTTGCTTATTTTAATTCAGCTAAATGACAGGGATGGTAAGACCAATAATAACTGGTAAGGAATACATCATTTATGTGTCATTTCTACTAATTTTAGATGAGGCTGTTTGCTGCACTGACTAGCCCAGCTTGTTTATTTTTGGGGGTATTTTTAGAAACTGCTTGTAGTTGACAAAACTCACCGATACAAGCAAAACATAAAGAAAAAGAGGATTAATTGTCACTGGTTTTAGAGGGATATCATCACCCCTCTAAATTTCTTGAAGAGCATTTTGGAGTTCACTTTCTAAATGTACAACAACAGTGTTTTGCGTTGTGAAAACATCTCAGTGTTTCTTATGTCCAATATGACGCACAATGATGAAAGTGATCTCCTTCACTGCTGACCAGCCATACAGCTATGCCTTTTGCCAATGGAATTTTGCCTTGAACACTTCTTGATCAACATTCAAGCATGGAAAGACTGTGATCCTAACAGCTTCTCACACTTGCCTTCTGACACTCCTACGACTGACGTCAGCTCAGTCAATCCCCACAGAGGACGCAAAGTGATAGTCTCAACAGGTCAGGAACTTTTCCTACAAGGTACGAGTTGGTTCTATTATTATTTCAAACTTTACATAGCTCAGGAGGCAGAATAATTTACACTGCATTTCTCTTCAACGTTCCTTAGTGGAACAATATCACTAAGAGCAAAACAAGCAAACTAAAATGACACGACCATCTTTCGTTTAATCCTCACTTCCAGCAGCAGTCGCATCTAGTCATTATGTCCAAATCCCAGTCTATAAAAGTAGGTTAAATCTGAAACCACTCCTTCCTGTTGTGATCCCTTTGGTCTTTAATCCTGTACATCACTCCCTCAGATTCAGAGATTTGGAATGTTTCTGATATCCACCTACCTACCATGGTGTGTGTTACAACTAAAATAACCTAAAATTGCATTGCCGGTGAAACAACTTTAATAAGTTGAATTCCTTATTGAATGTGTGTGCAAACCGATAACCAGGTCCTGGACACTGTGTTTATATGTGGTTATCGAATCGATTCTTAAAACAAAACTGGAGAAAAACATCACACTTTAAAACTGGACAGCAACCTACCTCAACAATGTCAGAGTTGGTTCTGCTTTCGTGCGGTTCATTATACTCTGTGTACTTGAGGAGAACTTTGTCCATGTCAGTGCTAGCATACTGAAACAATTTGTTTGAACTGTTGAATATTATCAGAGCTATCTCACAGTCACAGAGTACACTCAGTTCATAGGCTTTCTTCATTAATCCAAATTTTCTCTTTGTGAACGTCACCTGGAAGAAAAAAAGAAAAAAAGAGAAAAATCTTCACATCTGTTTTAGTAGTCTGAAAGCATGTGGTACAAGCAAACTGCCTGTAATTAAAAGAGTAAGGATTTTTTAATTACTATAATTAAGGGCACCTCGCAATAGTGATATTCATTTTTAATAAAATTTTAAAGCTGAATTGCCAAAATTTTTGAAGCCCCGAGTAAAACCAATATGTATAATTCAGCCTTTACTGCACAGGAGCATGTTTAAAAAAATAGTAAGTGTAGAAAATCACATTTGGATCAAAGCCATTTAGTTCCAAACAGATTTGACTCAGCCATTATTGTGTAACACAATTACACCACAATTAGACTGGTGTGTGTAAGCCACAAAGATAATTTTAAAATGGAGACAACATTTTAATTTAACAAACCTTTTTCTAATACTTCAGAACACAATTAAATTGCATTTATTTTAACCGTATTTGTAATTTGGTGAATACTATAATACTGATTTTAAGGCAGAACATCTGTGAAGCTGCATTATAATAGGATTCAGAAAGTAAACAGTATTATATAATGTGCCATCTAAAGGCAACATTTCATTTCCAGAAAGGTCAGACCATACACAATCCTCCCATGCTGCTCACAGGTTGAACTCAATCTCACATCCAGTTAGAAAGAATTTCATTTTGCACCAAATCGGGCATTCCGAGAAATCAATGGAGATGTGAAAAGAATAAGAAAATATTTTACGCTGTGTAAATATAGCAGTAAGAACACTAAGTTCTAGTTATATTATTGAATAGAGGCATGTGGAAACCACTTGAATTCCAAAGCAAGGCTGGTGTGTTGTGCTGAATTAACCCAATGGGTAAAGACAAATACATGGAAATTAAACATACTGCTGTGGTTTCCAAGCAAAGCAAATTGTAGTCAATGAAATCATGAAGAAAAAGTGAAAATATGTGTTCTTTTAACCCCAAAATAAACAAAATAAGCCCCAAGCACCATCTCTCACTAAGCCACGTATTTTGATTTCATGGTTATAACAGTTCATGTGTAGACGCAAGAACATCTCTGGCAGGGTATCATTACAAATTATGATTTTTAAATGTGTGTATCTGCAGAAAGATTCATACTGAACTCAAGTTTGCACATCCATTGTGTCAGTGTAGATCAAGATTTCATCTAGAAATTGTGCTGAACAATGAAAAATAATAATTGTGTGTGCCCACCGAGCTATCTGAGTTAATATAGATTTTGTGAAATTCCATAAGCCTTCAACTATTTTTCTCCTACCGATTTGCAATTTAAATATTTATCAAATAGCATAAGCAGAAACAACAACAACAACATTCCATTTATGGAGCGCCTTTCACATCGGGAGGACTTCCCAAACATCTATAAAACCCATATTAAATGAACAAAAAACCAGAACAGAAGGTTCTCCTTAAGTTTGGCAGAAGACTTGAAATCACACTATTATTCCAACTACTCAATAACATTTTCATCTTGAGATCACATTGCTTGGACCCTCACCATACTTGGAGCTTTCCAAATTTGCACACCCGATGCACTTGTCAAAAATTGGTTTCAGTAAATATCCAATTTTATTCATTATAATAATGATGTGCAAATAATAGTGCAAATTCAGAGCACAGAAGTCACGGCACTCTTGCTGTCCAATGCACTGTGTCGTAGAATAAGAGCGCTGGGATCTAATCCAGATTTCAGGCTCACTGTTGCAAGAGGCGCAAAGTAGAAACAGGTGTCGTCCGACACGGAGAATGGGAAAGTCACTTCAGGTCATTTTGCACACAGAATATTTTGAAAGCCCAATGTAAATGAGAACAGTTCAGTTACTAAGGAGGATTTTCATGCCATATGTTGCTGATTTTATCCATTACATATTTAGTGTTTTTAGTTAAACAGGGACAAGGTAATATTCTTTAATTTATAAAGAGACTTGGGCAAACCAAGCCACAACTCTGAGGATATTCATAATTTCAGTTTTAATAATATGCTGTATATCACATTTTTGACTGTACATCAATGCCATTTCCTCTCATTTCTTACCTGTCTGTTACGCTCATCCATAATCCGTGTAATCTGAATCTTTTTCCGCCCCATCTTCACCTTCTCCTTCCTATCTCCAATATATCAGTGTGCAATCCTAGCTCTGTCAGTTATCAATGTTCTAGTGCATGGTACAGACTTCTCAGTTTTTCCTCCTCTGAATCAGTTCAGTTTATGGTCGCCTTCAAATCCTGCAAAAATAAATTGACAGCTTGTTAAATAAAATAAAATTACGAAGTATATAATTTGTCGATATTCAAGACAAGGAAACAAAATGAATAACAATTAAGAACATTAGTTTTTCTGTTCGACTTTAACAGGGTCTGCTGATTACTTTCGATGGAGCAATTATTCCGCTGAATCTTAAGAGTAATTATTTTTCTGTTCAAGAAAATGTTTCAAAGAAAAAAAGGATTTTGGCTGTCAATGTTGACTCCTTGGTGGACTGTAGACTATTGGAATGCATGTCTGACACTTGGCACAAAACAGAATGTGCCATTTGGTAGAAAGCAATGTTTGCTTTAGTACTGTTAAAAAAACTGTCCAAAAAACCACCAACTTTGATCTTAGTTACACTGGTTGTAAGGTCATAACAATTGACTTTGTTAAATAGGGAAACATAAATCAATCCGGGTTTCCACTCCTGAATGATCATTCTTTTCCCCCCACTCCCACCCCAATGTCTTGCCTATTCTTAGACTTGTGCCATTGCAGTACTTTGCATTCCGTAGGATTGTATCCGATTCCCTGCCTCCACCTTGTTTTAACTGCAAGAGACAACATCTTGAGCAAGCTATCAAGATGATGAAAACATAAAAACATGCCTTCACAGCGAGGACAGTGCATACTCCACGTTCTCCAATTGAATGGATAAAAGATACCCACTCAACCATAACGATTGGGTTTTGTCAGTGTGATTAACAGCCTTTAAAATGGATTTCCAGCTCAAGAGTACCATTACAAAGACATTCCCTTTTACAAACATTTTTATGCAAACTCTCCAGCAGTTATATTTTTGTATGTGTACACACACAGCACATACACAGGCGCACACACACACAGGCGCACACACACACAGGCGCACACACAACAATTTTAAGCATTTGCCTTGGGTCATTATTCCCAATAATCCAGAATCTGACCAGAAGTCATTACAGGAGCTAATGCTGTCAAGTAAAAGTACCTAACAATTGCATGGAGCCTGTTGCACTCCACCAGGTTTGTCTAAGTGTTGCTACATGACCTAGTTTTAAGCAGGCAAAGGTACTGAGCATTCAACTCAGGGAAGCTAAGGTAGAATCAAAATTCACCTTACTTGTTTGTCTAACGACAGGATTTGAAAGCCGTCAACATGTTAACTGGAAAAAAAACACAGCTCTTAAAAAGTGACATGTTCTCCTCTACGACATGGTTGCCAGTAACAAGTGGCACAAACTACTATAGACATCAAACAAATTCCTCGGTGAGTAAGCCTTTCCCAGAATAGCCTGAAACTTGGCCACTGTGAAGTTCAGGTCCTCAGAAGGGAGTGTTCTTGAGATTTCTCGAGACTGACAAGGGACCTTGGGTGCCTGAGTGCATAAGCTGTGTGCCTCTTAGGAAGATGTTCTTCCCAGTCAGTCAGTCATTCAAATAGAATTACATATGAAGTCCCTGGAGATATAGATGGGTTGTCAGCACTGAAACCAGTCCAAAGGGGACACCTTGTATTGCTAACAAATTACACTCGGTCATAAAGGTTCCCAAATCTGAACCATTCGCAAAGCACAGTTGCGACAGTGTGGAACACAAGTAACCAAGGTATAAAAAAAGGCCATTACATTCATTGAGTCCACTCCTTTCATAGATCATGCAATACCTTCTCCAGCGCTTCCTCAGCCACTCAAACTACAGAGGAGGATGAAGGGAGGGGGGGAGGGTGGGGGGAGGAAGAGAGGTTGACTGCACAGAAATCACAGTAACCTGTGGAGTATTTGTTCATCGTAGTGTGTACTCTTTCTCACCCATATATTCATGTTCCTGAGTGGTTACCTAGCTAGTTATTTGTGAAGGAATCAATTGGCATTGCATTAGCTGATTTTATTGTAAATCGATGTACATATATTGGGGTAGGGAAGGGGTGGGGGAGGGAAGGGGCAGGGGAGGAAATAATCTAATCTCAAATCCCACTTGAGCAGTTTTTTTTAATGTTAAATGTATTCCTTCAGTTGTGCTCACGGTAAATAGTTCAGCCTCACCACTGACGGAGAGAGCATAATGAGACACATAGTACATGGAAATGTTGACACCCACCCATATCTAATTCGTTCCTCAGGGTACCATTATTTCCAGCTGAAAGCTTCTACATATTCATAGGTGGTGCCTTCGTCAACAATACTAGTTTCAGGGAATGAATCCATTTGGTTTCAACAGTGGTCCAAACTAATGTTGGTCATGGGTCAGGCTGGAAACTGGACAGGAGGCACTCCACAGCCTCAGTAACCTTAGGTTATAAAGCTGTCTAAACACATCAATTTAGCATAGACTTCCTTTTAAAGAGCCTCAAGGCATTAGAAACCTGAAAATTCTTGGCAGAGCAGGATTCTAGGAGAAGAATATCTCAGCATATTTTGTTTTACAAAAAAATGACTTAGAGGTGCAAGATGACCAAAACCTCTTCAGCCTTTGGAAATGCAGTTGTCCTCCCCACCCTTCAGTCTTTAGTTCAGCGTTCCAGGAGAGGCAGCAATACTTAATAGGAGGAGATTATGTTTCAGCGTCAATTCTCTTTGAGGCTCTGCCAATGCGTGCGTTTATGTGGGGTGGAGAACGGGGAAGGAAGGAGAGCTTGCAAAATGGCAGATTCAGGAAGTACTCATTACTCAAGGGGTTTCACCGATAAAACATACAGTCAATTCACTTTACAATATACTCTGTGAAGCGCTTTGAGACATCTAGAAGACATGAAAAGCGCTATATCAAATGCAAGGATTATTATTATTTATTATACAAGGCACAATAAAATGAAATGGTCTATTTGCATTCAATCGCTTACGTTTTTCCTATTCAAAATTAACGCCGAAAAAATTAAAGCACAAAAACACTGCAGTGCGGAAAATATAATGAAGCATTTCAGTTTTACATACATTTAGCAGAGAGAGTGAGAGAGAAGAAACTCGTGCTCTTTTAATCCATCCAAAAAGCTCTTATTTTTCAGAAAGATGATAGGTTAGACTACACACAACATGCTATATGAAAAGGAAAGGATAAGCTTCGTTTTGACTTTCGGATAGTCCTGCCCACCTCGTACACAAGTCTTTGAAACTGACCTATGTTTTTACATCCAGCTTACACAAATGGGCTGACCTTCAAGTCACATGCTTGAATCATGGTGGCTCTTTCTTCATCCCATTCTCATTTAATCCATAGTGACAACATGAGCCGATTAACCACGGCACAATCCATTCAGTGCATACAAGGGAAACAGCCACTGCATATGATGTCAATTTGGCTCGAGGAAATGACAGGCCTCCTCCATGCACTTTAGCTTCAAGATTAGCAGCTTTATGTTGGATTCTCGGGAAAATAACTACTCAACTCGCTGATTACATAACACTAATACAAAGCCCTCTCTCTTCACCTTTAGTAGTGTATTGGTCTTTAGGCCAATGTGATCCTCGGTGTTATCAGTGATAAGTTTTTATGCTTGGCAAAATGCTAATTGTTAGAGTTTCTCCAGCATTACACAGACTGTTCCTGCACCCCCATAGGTAAAACTCAAGAAAATCTTTGTACATTTGTAACAACACAAAGGCACAGTCATCACCACTCACCAGCCACTGCAAGCAAGGCAATAACACTCATAAAAATAACAAGTTTATGCATTAACAGGTTTGCTAGGTTGAAGGAACACTCCAGGTGAGGTGTTTTGAAGGTTTTAAAACGGATTGCATCATCCTCTCACCAAGAAAAAATATTGGTCAGACCCCCTCCCCGTCCCCCACCCCCCCAAATGCCAATCAGTATCCAATAGCAGGAAAGTGCAAGATACCAGATTAACTAGCGTTGAATGTTTCCCCTCCTTTGACATTAGTATATAGTCAAAAAACACAATCACCACTTTCTTACCAGCAAATGGTTTCAAAGGTCAACGCTGTGGGTCTGGTACAATAACTTTGACAAGAATTGCTTTTATGGCTGCTCTATACAACTGCTTTCCAAGATATTTATATTAAGCCAACACCACATGGGAAAAGTAAATTCCATCTGCAGCATCCCATGAAAAACAATGGATCCATTAACTGACCCACACAAAAAAAGAAAGCATCCAACGAGAGTCAGAATAAGTTTCTGTTAAAATGGCAGATTGCTCCAGGGCTGGTCCATTAAATGATTCAGGCCAATTTCTGTGCAAGTGCACTATCACAAGATGTTGTAAACACAGCTAATCAAGCGCCAGCTGCAGAGAACTACAAAATTTCCTGTCACGCATCTTTGAAATGTTGATGGAGATGACTATTTGAATTCAGAGATACTCTACCGCTTCCTGTCAGTGCACCCAATTGAGATAAAACTCCCTTCCACTCCACCTGTACTTGTATCTCCTCATTTGAACCCAATTCAGTGCCTGTACAATTAAGCCTTTTGAATAAAAATTTTTTTTAATTGATCTCCCAGCAAGTTCTAAATTGTTCATCTTCCGAGGGGCATCAACACATTGTTTCTTTGCTCCAAGCAGTCCACGATTACTTAATCCGTTACAAGTTTGTTTCTCATTTCTCCACTCATAGTTTATGCCACCTGATAGCTTCAAAGACACTATCGTGCAACTCCTAGCTAACATTAACATAACATAGTTACCTTCTTTCCTCAAAATTTATATTTTCTGCCCCATTATATAATCAACACAAGAGACTGAAGTATAGTCTGTATCTGACCAATGTTATTTTCTCACAATTGCCCCCAGATCTCCCTCAGCTAGTCCATCAATAATACACCAAATCTATACTGTATATCTTATTAAATTCTGTGGCTCAACCCCATCTGCTCCAGTTAAATCACCCAAGAAAGAAAGAAAAAAAAGTCATTCACTCGCTCTAATTCTTTGTCATTGATGGTAACTACTCCTGGCACTTCATAGCTTCTAATGTACATGGCATTGGGATTTGTTGCATCAAGGGCTAATCTTCATTCCGTTTATGCTTCTCCCACA